TAAACCATAATACTTAGCTCAAAACCCAATACACGAGCTATTGGTCGCATCAAAAATCTAAGTTATTTGTGAAGCGAAATTGTTAATAAGAACTCGTCCGTAAACCATAAGACCCATTACAAGACCATTATAACAGCAAAATCTAAAAGACAACAATATCGAAAAACCAAATTCATAAATCATCCCGTATCATTCTTAGATACGAGGCAAAACCACAAGGTTCTAAGTCAAGACCTAGACGGGTAAAGCCATCCAGGCACCAAAACAAATCAAGTCTGAAACAAAAGCAAAATACAAAATATGATTAAGGAGTAATCTTCTCAGTTTCCTCCTCAACAATGCCATCCTTGGCAACGCCCTCCGGGGCAATGATAAGGAGTTTCTCGAAACACTCAAACCCGTAGCTAGAATCTCAACTTTCTCATCAATGCGAGGTCGAGCCAACAGTTTGACTTAGCGTCGGAGAAACCCAACTTAGCACAAGACGTTGAACTTACCATCAACAAGTCCCACTAGTTCAACTTTGACAAGCGCTTAGAAACGATCCAAACTTGGCAAACATTCGGCTCCCTCTCAACACAAGACACCTCGTCACCTCCACAAAAACTTGAACCGGACTCCACCAAAATCAAGCCTTCCACCTCGGCACCAATCGAAGGGTCTCGGCAAGGTGGAGTCCTTGGCAATAAGGAAAAGTCCTCGGCTATGGGAAGAGGAGACCTCGGCAACAGATCTAGAGAAATATGGATGCCGACCTCTGGACCTCGGCCACGGGGGTCTCGACGAGCTCTCAGACAAGCCACAACGAAGCCGAAACTTGGTGCTAATTCCCGAATCAGTAGACCTCGGCACAAAAGGGTCCTCGGCATGAAATCAAACCACGGAAACGTAGTGCTCGGCGTATGATCTCCTCGGCAGAAAAATCTTGGGAAGCCTCCGAAGACGGCACTATATGGGAACTACAAAAACTTTTTGTTGTTTTGTGGCCTGAGATATCTGTCAAAACACACACACCTCATATCTCGCGTTTGACCTGAACATGGTTCCCATATCTTGGGGAAATTGTTTTGAACTTCCTATGTCCTTTGTTTTACAGCAATCCATGGACTCAGAGGTCAGAGCTATAATGGGCCATTATTAATAGCACAGTACATGCCACTGGATAGCCAAGCCGAGGTTCCATCACGTGCCAGAGAGACCGGAGTTGTCCATGTATTTATTCCCTGGAAAAGAATCAAGGTGACACGTTCTTTTAACCTTTGTGGCCCTTGAGGCCTTTGTATCTCTTGTACCAAATAGTATATATTTGCATAAAGAGGTTTCAGAATCTTTAAATTACTTGATACTGTTTTAAGCATTGTTGCTATAGGGAAACTTTGATGTAGCTTCCAAGAATTGAACGGTAAAGATGAATAAAATTACAGTTTAAGTTGTTGGTTGTTAATCTAAAACCCTTTAGTCATAGAAAAATCCGCTTCCTTGTCAATTGTCAAAAATCCGATTCTTTAATTACAGGAAAAATTAACTTGGTAGGTTTGCAACCACATTTGACAATATTGTTGCCCATGTGATTGAATTAGGAGGCTATTAACGATAGATGCATTTGGAATATAGGTTTTCATTTGCGGCAAACAAAGAGTAAGGCAAAATGTGTACAAAAAGAAAAGTATATTGATGGAAGAGAGATAAAACAGCTAATCATTCCAGGGAAAGCATAAGAAGAAACGTCACTGCAAGTTTTTCATACAAACATAAGCCAAAACATTTTGACAGAAAAGGATCATAATAACGTCAAAACCTGTATCAGCTAGTCTCATCCTCCTCTCAGTCATCTATGCTCTTCCACTTGTGGGTACGCCCTTGTACTTTAGTCGTCGAAAGGCTTATCGAAAGCCAGTTAAAGGTAACAGTTTGTAGCCTAGTACGTATCCTTGACGAGATAACTCGAGTCAGTTGAGGCTGGTGAGGCATTGCTAAGAGAACATTGTAGTCTACATATACCCAGTTTTCAAGATGTTTGAGGAAACGCGATTTTCCTCCGTCTAGCTTTGAGACTACTATCAAATTTCTTGGTGTAAAAGGGTTCTCACAGTTTTCCTGTAACCACCAAGTAATGTCCGTAAACATCATACGACATCTATGATGTTTACTCCCTATATGTCAAACAAGTCAGATATAGATTATAAGAGACAATTAAAAAAAAAAAAAGGTATAAGATAGATCATTCAATCACCTTCGGGAAGGTAAATGACGGTGATTCCGGCGTTCTCATAATCGTCGTACAATTCATCCGAAAATGTTTCTTCATCAACGTAGGCCATGATTGACAATTGACCACGAAAACCCTCATTCTCGAGAATTAGTTGCATCTTCTTATAAATCGAAACAGGATCAACACCATCAGGGAATGGGAAATCCATAAGGTCCCAGAATACACGTGTGCAAGGCCCTGCGACCAAGGTTTTAAAATTACAGGGAACAACCATAAAAAAATCAGATCAAACATGGATTATTGGAGAGAGAGAGAGAGATCTGTACCGGTGGTTTCGACGGGAGGAGATGACATGGTATCAACGAGAGAAGCGAAAAGAGATTCGAGAGAAAATCAAAATCAAAGGGCAAACTAGGGTTAGGAGGAATTTAAAAATTTAAGCGAAACTTGCGTTGTCAAACCCGCGACCTGAGTGTTAACACCACGTGGCTTACCACCGGACAATCGTGACTTGATGTATGAATTTGGGGTTTTTTACTCTTATAGACACGGACACTTTTCCATACTAGGATACGTTTTACCCAAAAATGCACTTAACTTTCCGTTTATACCTCTAACCAGATTTTATTGTTGTGGTTGACTTAACAATATCACGTGGCTAAAATTTGTAGAAAGAAAAGTTTGTATTTGAAATCGATGGTGTAGAGGGTTGCTTAGATTTTCATAGTTTTACTTGTCTTATTCATCAAAAAAGGTTCTCTCCTCACGCGTCCGATTTCTTACTGGCGTCAAAGCTTTATACATATTTTGTGTTTGTTTTCCAGCTTGTTCAGATTTATTTCGGCTTGGACCGATCCTTGTGTTCCGAGTTCTTCTTGAGTGGATTAATCATATGATTCTCAATGATTGAAACTTCAAGTGATTCAGATCGATTGGATCTGAATATGAAGATTTTGCACTTCTCGGCGTGAGTATTCTGGGTCTGATCATATAGGTTTTATTACTTCGATGTTCTTCCGGAGATCTATGGCAAAAAGGGTATGTAGCGGTACAAGGTGAAGCTTCACGGTGGTTAGGATGTTGTCGCCGATGGTGGAAGACGATTCTCTAGAAGATACGTGTTTCTTTTAGATTAGATTAAGGTTTCCACGTGTCTTACCTATGTACTTAGATCGAAATATCGAGTGGGCATTTGTACGCTTAGAGAAAAACTGTTGGTATTCCTTGGTCTCAATGGTTATATTCATGTGGTTAGTATACTATAGCCATCTATGTGTACTATAATTGTATTCCTTCTTGTAGTAAGTATCTTTTGATAAAATTATTCATTAGGTTACTTTAGATTGACCGTAAGGAAAAATCTACATGGACATATCCATGTGGTCAAAAGAGATTGAACATAGGCGATGAAAGTGTCTGTGTGGTCATGACCATGTGGACTATAATAATTAAGTGATAATGATACGCCTTATTAGAACAAATGTGCAAATTATTAGACGTATAACCGATTGTGACCATGATCCTATGTCCACCTGTAACATTTAGCCTTCTAGTTTTGTAAAAAAATCGAGGTTCATCTGAACTTAAGAATGGAAACGAATGGTTAATTTGACAATGAACGCAATATAAAACATCTGAAAACACAATGCTTAATTTAATTATAATTGAACTCATTACAAAATACCTCTTCACAAATACCTCTTCACAAACACCTCTTCAACAAATGTATTGACATCAAAATGAGTCAACTTTCTGTAATTTTTTTGTTGATTACTACTTTCATCCATAGAGACAATATTTAATGGTCTAATGTTCACGGATGGTGAAATCTTGTTGTCTGATTATTTAGAAAGTATGTTATCCATTTGGAAAATATAAAACAATCAGAGTTTTATGTTTTCGTGGCCATTGAATCACAACTCAATTGGACGAAATAAGCAATTTGGATCCAATTGTAATTTTAAATATCGACGACATAGCTAGACCTGTTATCTATACAGACGGTGTTAGTGGTATATAATCATTGTCAAATTATTTTTAAACTATTCATATGGATAATATAAAATGGTCATTGTTGGCTCCATGATCATTTTATATTTTTGTACCGAACTTTTTTTTTTCTTTCTTCCAAATATTTATTCGTTGTATCTCTATACCATTTATCAGTTTGACATGAGGCCGATTTATGTTCTTTTTAAATAATTTATCACTAAATTTGTAAATTCACCTTTATGCATCTCTGTTTTCCTAAGAGATTTATCATTTATGTGAAACCAAGATTTATGGTCAATGGTTTATGGTCACAATCCATGATGAAGAATACATTCATGCATTAGTCATATGAACTATATAAAATGGTCATGGTTCATGGACACAAAACAAGACCCAACCACTTGACTCATGTACATCCTTAAGCTTCCCTTAAACTGAGAACTAGACCTGTGCATGATACCATAAAAGCACTTCCAATAAAAGATCAATATCGATTATAATAAAAGATAAAACAAAATCCCCAATCAAAAACTCATAAGAAAATGTTGGACAACAAGTTCATCACTTCTGGAAAGTCTTTTCTGGGTCTTTCATGAGATTCTATTTTTCATAGTCTAAGTTACTAGTGGGTCTCTGTTAGTAATGTTTCTTTTTATAAAATTTAGTTGATTTCTTCCTAAAATCCAAGCTTGTCTCTGTCATATTCGCCAAATCTCCTATCCTCTCGCCGGTAACGCAAATCAATTGGAAGCACCAACGACTTCTTCTTCTACTATCTCGATAATAATCATCACAGAGAGAGACGAGAAAAGGAAGAAGCTAAAGAAAGATGGGTCATAGAAACGAAGATATTAGGAAAGGATTTGCAGAGGAAGCATGTAATCATCATCATCATCAATACAATACCTTTCAAGGTGTTTTCAATTACCCTCCCCTCCAGAGTTCAGCTCCGGTCACTGGAATTCTGAAGTTAAATGCGTCTACTAAAAAACCCTCTCTGCACTACCAATTAAGATTTACAAACAGAATTCTTCGACGAATTCTGACGACGGCGTGAAGTAATAAAGACAAGCTTGTTTTCATTGGATCCAGTAAACGAGTCTAACCGTGGTTAAAAAAGAGTTTTGGTTGAGTTACTTTTTCATTGTGGGGTTTGTTTGATTCATGGGTATTTTTGTCTTTTAAAAAGAAGAAAGTGCCTTAGTGTGGAGAAGTGCATATAAACATAAATACTTTCAAAAAAGTGTCTATAACTGATAACAACCCATGAAATCGCCATAAAAATATATAAATCCATCTAGACGTTGAAAAATGGTTGATTAGTGCCCGAATAATCTCCGCTTAATCATTTAGGTGCTAGGCCTTATCCGATTATTGCCTAACCAATTTTTGAACATGGACATTAACATATCACACTAATAATTTACCACAGGTGCATTATGTGACTCCTCAGCTGCCGATATGTCTAAGTTCAGGTAAGAACTCCAGTACGAGTTCCAACAATGGACCGGATCCACTGGGACTTCATGAGCTTGCCTGGTTAGGCTCTGTTGTAGAGATCGAGTCTGCTCTTGCACTATCGGATCGTGCCCATACAACCTTGGCATTCGAATCGGGGATTCCACCAGAATGGGACCTTCGCTCCCTTCATTGTCCGATAATATCTCGATAAGCACGGGCGAGTTCAGTATACCGGCGGGTACTTGAGTTGGTTCGAGATTACGAGCAGGCGACTCTTCCATCGGGTATTCTTCTGGGTCCTCTTCCGGCTCTGAAACTGGCTTGGGAACATGAGCAGGTGACTCCGCCATTGGATCTTCTTCCGGATCCTCCTCTGTCTCCTCAGAGGTTGTAGGGAATAAGGGACTGTAATGTTCCGCCGGTTCTCTTGGCAAAACTTCTCGAGTGGCACATGCTGACCACTTTGTCACTATAAAATTTCTGGAGTGCTCAGTCCTTCTACCCGGCTGATCATTCAAGGCATCTACACTGTCTGCCCGCGCAGCCGCTATCATCCTGGGCCAATCTCTCACAACTCTTCTCGGTGGTCTCATTCCAACTGAAACAAAGGGTAAGTCCTATTA